TTGGAAGAACTCTGCTACGCTAACAAATGCTTAATAGCTAATAGTTTATCGTTGGCCTACCCTACTGGTCTTCAAGATGTCACAATGAATAATCTTTCCTGTAGTTTCAGCAAAACCCAGCCCAAACACCTCCCTGTTAAACTTTTAAGAATTAATGTAATAAAGGACCTCTCTACATTGCACAAAAAGCTTGCAAAAGGCATTTGTAACCTTTCAAGAAAATGATTTATTCAAATACCTGCCTGGCCTGTTTGTCAGTTCCTCTGTTTTAATAAGTTGATTTCAATTTTCATTTACAGATGAAAGCAGAGACTTTTAACCAGCTCTACAATGTAGTACAAGAACAAATAATAAAAACAGATCTAGCAGATAAGCACTGCTGTACCAAGACATTGACAAAACTCTAGAACAAAGTAATTCTAAACTCCTCCTTGCCTCACTTTCTTCAAAAATGCCAACAAAAACACACTCTGTTGCATGCTCAAATGACCAGACAAACTAGTTCACAGTAGAGTTCTTGGAGAATCAAAGTAGCTAAATAGAACAGTTTTACCACCTGTAAAATAGTACTACCTGCCTTGACCCTTTTTCTCTCTAAGGAAGGAAGCTCTCTTCTAAAGCTGAAAACCTCTCTCCCTTGAATTCAGAGTCCAGCTTTATCAGCTTCACTGCTACTTCAACCACAAGCATTACACAGGAAAAATGCTGGTTTTAAGCAGGCAGATCACCAGACCATTCAGACCACATGAACATGGAATTAAACAGGCAGTCATCTTTTCTACAGACATTCAGACTATTTTGTATATGGTTACAATTCAAAGCACGCTAATTACAAGAAAAAAAGAAGTATTTCTGAGTACACATCCTCTGGGCTTAATGGGTGTCCATCAGTTCCACTAATGGCCAGTCCCACTTTATGAAGTCAGCAGGCTAAATATGATAAATACACTTTCACTGCTCAGGTACAATCAGACAAATAACCCATAGTAAGTTCACCGATAACATGACAAACTCACCTCATCGTCACTGTCTGATGTCTCAGAGTCTGAAGATGCTGTAGGTTTGCTCACAGGTGGCTCCTTTTCTTCAGAGTCACTGCGTTTCCGTTTGGCCAATGACAAGAGCTCCTGGTATGAAAACACACACATTTAATTTTAAAATGTCATAACTATTTTTACCAATCCAGGTCAGTGCACATGCACTTTCTCTGTGATATTTGAGCACATTCCAGTAACATGATTATTCCCACTGACTAAGGAACAAAGTCTACTTATGTTTCATGAATACATATATACACACACACACAATTTTAATACAACTGGATGCTACAGAAGGATTTTGAGGATAACAAGCTAGAAGAAGTAAATACCACTACTATTACTTTCTTGGTATAAATGACATAAGACAAATTACTTTCAGAGTCATGCCCAGGTCTGTTTTATTTGGATTAGGTAATAATTCAAAAACATCCTAACTACATTGTGTAGCATTAACCCAAAAAGCCAAATGCCACTAGAGAGCAGCTCCTTCTTCCAAATAAAAGAGATGTTTGCAATTATACACTTTAAAACGGAAATACTTTAAGCATCACCACAATGTCATGGCTGATAATATTTAGTCAGCCTGTTCAATCCCTTTTCACTGTCCCTCCATACCACAGAATACACTTAAAGCTTTGGACAGACACAAAGCAGGCATCAAGCTCAAAGTTTGTGAAACTAAGTAGAGCTGTTCTCCTCCAAAGGAAGCACTTGCAAAGGCAACACACACCAGCACAAAGAACTAAATGGCTCTCAAATAATCTCATGAATTGAGATTGAGAACTCTCTCAAGTTCATAGCTTGTTCAGATGACAGAAGCAGTAGTATAAAGCAAACATTTCTGAAGCTGCATTACTGTCTTTGTAGTCCATGACACATAATATATTCTTAAAAACATTGCTGATGTTCATCAGGGGCTGACGAACCTTAGCTGTGAGTAGAAATACACCAACTTCTGCAGTCTTGGGAAGTCAATACTAGATTCGTTTGCATTAGTTTTACAACTGGAAGATTATCTCCACAGCAAACGGATTAAAATTTAGTACCTCAAATGAGACCATAAACTGCAGAAACTGATGGCCTAGGCCACTCACCAACAAAGAAACCTTCCGTTGGTAATGGCATTTTACAAACCTTTCTCTGAAGAAGGCATGCAACAGAGCACATTTGTACAATTAACAGTTCTCTTCAGGAAGCTCCTGACATTTTCTACAATCTTTTCTAGAATTGCTCTCTCACAACTGTCTCTAAGTAGTCCTTCAACCCAGATTACCTCCCTGGATGATATCTTGGCATATTTACCACTACTTTCATTCCAAGCAATTTTCCTTCTTTCTTTCTGTTCTCGTTCTGTTTTCCCAGATGCTATATTAGAAAGGCTCCTATTCCTTTGATTCAACAAGCCTAGATTGCCAAGGGAAGCTGTCAAACACTTAACCTACAGGGGCCCCACTCAGTATACTCTCACCCTTAAATCACACCACAAAACCATTGCTTTCCTGCTATCTAATCTTCCTCCTTGCACATACCTATCCCTGCTGTTACAGTTGCTACAAACAGCTCAGTGGAGGAGGAAGCACCTACTACTCAGGTACAGATGCAGACGCATGCTTCCAGGCAACAACGGAACAGATGCAGAACCATGCAGTTATTCCTACCACCATCACTCTGCCTGATCTATGCTAGAGCTAGTCCAACTCCTTCTATTTTCAGGCTCTGAAGAAACTACCAAACTAATATACTAGTGGTGAGATGTTGGCAGCTCTAAAGACTCTAGAGGCACGCAAGATCAACAACATCAGGGCATGCTCTGCTCCAGTATATTTGTCTAATGGAGCCTCCCATTTGATTTTTCTGAAGTTCCAAGCTGCAAAAATATTTTTGAGTGTTTGGGAAGGCTTTTTTTTTGCAACGTAGCAACAGCTTCTCTATTAAAAACCCTGAAGGTCCAGCACATAAATTACATCAGACATATAAGCTTCAGCATATTTAACCAGCCAAACTTCTCCCCGGAACAAGCATTGCCATACAAACTGTAACACACTTCACCTGTAGTGTCTTTGTGTACCATTTGAATCACATCATCACCTCCTGCTACACCAAAAGATAAGTCTTTGAAAGCAACCCCCTCCGAAGAAGACAACGACGTCCCCTTCGCAGCCCTGACACGGTTAAACCGATGCCAGACATTGCACTTCCAATCCCAAGAGATGCCCTGATGATAAATAAATACTTCCCCTTGTTAGATCTACAGGCTCCTAACTCCATGCAGTTTCCCATCAACAGAGCTCCCCCAGCTCAGTCGCTAAGATTGAGGAGGGAGCATTAAACACGCATTAACAACCTCCCCTAGCGCCCGCCTGCCCTGAGGGGCTCACCGGGCCGGCGGAAGGCAGGGACCTGACACGCTGCTCTCCCCAACAGCTCTCCCGGCGTGCGAAAGCAGCACAGAAAAGTTGCCCAGCCCTTTGGGCCTCTTCCCCCGCTCCCCGAGGGCTGACGACCGCCGGCACCCAGGCCCCGCTCCTCCCTCCTCAGGGCCAAGCCGCCCCGGAGCATCGCCCCTCCGTCCCGCCGAGCGCCGCCCTCCTGCCAGCGCTGGGCCCGCTGCAAAGAGCCCCCGAAACCCGCCAACGCGGGACGCCTGCCAGGGGCGGGCCAGGGACCCGCCCGGGG